CAAGCAGAGACCAGCACCAGAACTACAACCACGGGTATTTATTTAGAGATCCAGGCAGGCTGATGGCATCAGGACAGTATCACAGGAAGTAGGTAAGCTCCAGGCTCTAGAGTGGGGTTCAGAGTACTCTAGTTACCAGTCCTGGGACTCATATATAGCCAAATAAGCAACAAGGATGACTCATGTCAAATTCTAGAGTGCTTGGCTAGAATGTCTTAGCTAGAACTTGACTAGTGCTACTTCCTGAGGTCCAGAACCTCAATGCTGATTTGCAAGTAGAGAATCTGACAACACTCTCTGTAACTGAGAAAAGGACAAGAAAAAGACAAGAATGGCACTCCTCTTTTTTGAATCCTTAGTGTAGCCTAACCTAAGACAAAGAAGTCATAACTGACAATAGAAGGGAATATAACTTAATATGCAGTGTAAGTAAATCCATGAAATACATGTTTATTTCTAATAGGATTTGATACACTATCATTGGCAAGGAGAGTAATTAGAACCAACAAGCATAGCTTGACGGGCAGTTCAGTATGGTGGAAACGTACAGACTCTAAAGCCAAAGTTTCTTGTTCAAACCCTGGCTAAAACATGCAAATGTTTTATTTAGCAAATTATGGCTAACTTGTGTTTATAAAGACTAGAATAATATCTCGGGAACCAGAACACCTGAACTCTAGACTCAGATTCTGGCCTTGGATCTAATTATCCATGTTACCTTGGGAAAGTGGTTTAAACTTTTTAAACTCAGGTTGCTGATCTATAAAATTGAGGTCTAAGATTACTTAAATATACGCTTTAAAGTACTCTCAGGAAATCTTTCAAATCTTCGTGCTCTTCAAAAAGCACCCAGACATTCCCCTTGCTTTACAGTCTGAGCAACTTTGAGAATCACTGTGCTATCTTAGTTTATATAGTAATCCTGAACTAAATGTTATTACTCCCACTTTGGAGATGAGGAAATATAAGTCTAGCAGGTTTAAATAATTTGTTCAAAACCTCATGACTAAATTATTGTGAGGCTGGGATTAGATTTTACTTCTCTCAATTCTAAAGCTTTGTATTTTCTACTATTCTATATGTTACTCTATCATTGGACTTGATTTCTATATAGTAGGCCAGAATCACAAACGCTCATTATACATTTACCCATGTAGCTCTCACTTTATACTTCTAAGTTGATACCTTGAGCTGTCATTTGTTCAGTTCTGTCCTGTTTCAGCACTCCCTCCCTTTCCTTGTTATTTATGGTGTTGTCAGCCCATATGGTCTAACTCCCATTTCTTAGTACCATTAAATGTCTTCTACGTGTCTTGTTTTTTAGCAGTAACTCCTGACTTTTATCTGAAATGAAATTCTTATGTACTTGCTCATTTCATCCATTTACAATGAAAAGGAGATGTGTAGAGTTAGTGCTAAAATGATAATAAACAAAAGATGAAACAAATATCAGTAAAGTAAAAACCCTAGTAATTATTTTCCATTTTCTTTTATATTTAGGTCTTTGTGAGACACGGATGATTTTCATGTCTAAATACTGGAACAGCCTAAATCATATTAATGTTATAATCATTATCATCTTCTAAAGGAAACTCTAAATTAATATTTGAATGGAAAAATAATATTTTAATATTTAGCTTTCAGAATACAGAAACATCTACATCTCAGAAACTGTGATACCAGTGTATGTGTACTTGAGGTAATATTTGTATAATTAGTAACTCTCACAGCAATGGGAAACACTTGCTGGATATGTTGTACATTAACATATCCAAACACTTTGGATATGTTGTACATTAACTTTCTGAGTCAAGAATTCCACATTGTTGTAAAATGATTTAAATTCAGTGCTGTGACAGTTATGCAAATAGATGTAAACTCCATTTCTAGCTAAATTTTAAAAAGGTAGAATGCTTACTAATTATGTTATTAACACAAATGTCAACAAAAAGTCTAACAAATACAGAAGCACAGTAACAAAATATAATTATCATTAGAATTGTCTTATGAGAGTAAACCATAGTATCATCAGGCTTAAAAAAAAACTAAGGTAATTGTTCTTTTTTGTTCTTTCTGATTCTTCCCTATAAATATAGTAGCAAGCTCTGATTATTTATCCTTATTCATTTTCCCCATGAACAAATTTGCTGATACTGGATATTATATTCATATACAAAATCATCATCATCATCTGATTAGATTATTGTTAGTGGAAACTCATCAAAGTTTTTAAGGCTATTAATAGTTTCATGCAACTTAAAAATCTAATTTTGGAAGTAACTACCTAATGAATTTTTCCTTCTATTGGTAAAACAGTCAAACCAGTGTTACTATCAACATCTAAATAAGGTGTTTAATATGGTTCTATTTTACGTAAGAGCTGGAATACAGACTTTATGATATATGTGAAACATTATCAAACATTGTGATGCCATTATGTTAACAGCATATATGTGGCATTAAAAAAATATTGGCCAGTCATGGTACATTTTTCTGAACTGAATTTTAAATTTTCTAGCGGCTAACATAACAAATTTATTATCTTGACATGGTGTATCACAATCTTCTTTCACACAGTTCACAGGCCTTTCTTGTTGCCTTTCCATGAACGATCCTGTAAGAAAAAAATATGACTTAGGTGGCAGTTGCAGCAAGGAGTGAGAAACAGATTCGTAGATATGACAAAGACTTAAAAATTTTTTTTCTCTTAAGTGCCTAGTTATTAGTTATGAAGAGTAATTAAAAGTAAAATACAGATTGAGAAAAATTTCAAATTCTAAAAATACAAAACTGATGAGTTTTACTTGAAAAATGTCTAAAAGGGAAAATAGCACTCTTGATGAGTTCAGTTTTTCCTTCTAGCTTAGTCTATTTTACCTTAGTTTCACATTCACAGTTTATATCAGGAAAACAAAATTTCTAAAATTCCTCTCTTGCAAACTCTCTTGGCAAGGGAAGAATGAAGGGAACCAAAAAACTCAGATGGGGCGGCCTTTTTTGTTTGTTCTTCAGGTATTTGCCAATAGAACTGGCTTCTTGGATTATACTCTTTTCTGATTACGTTATAAAGATGACTATAAAACATCATTTAAAACTGGAAAAAAATGAGATAGAAATTAATCTTAAGAGGTAATTTGCATTAAGAAGGTAAAAGTCTACACGGAGAAAACAATCTTATAAAACGAAGTTGTGGTGTTATTGTTTGTAAACAGAAAGTTCATTAAGTCCTTGTTCATGTTGAGCATTAATGTTTCCAGAAAAACTTTATAAACTTTAAGGAACAAAAGCAGAAGACAGAGGAGGAATTTGACTTGATAAAGTACTGCTTTTACATAGTTTTATTATTTTTTTTTCTAGAAGAGAGCCAGGGCAAACAAGGAAAAGACTATGTTTTGAAGGGATTGTTTTCTAATATTTATTTAGTGCCTATTAAAAGGAAGGAGACCAGATGGGGAAATCCAGACGAACTTAAAAGATGCAAAGTGGGATTTGTTTACAGTAAAGAAACCAGCTTTCCCCTTTTCTACCTTGGTTTCCTTAATATTTTACAGTCCTTTATTTTATGATTATTTTAAGAAAATCAATTATAAAAAATTGAGAAAGCTGTTTCCCAAAGAACTTTAGGATATAATTCAATTATTAAGATTTGTTTGACAACAGAAATAAAATTCATAAAGGAAGATTTGATATAGCTTTTTACTGTAGATGGTCTACAGCAATCTGTTGCTTATCAAGTAGGTTCAGAAGGTGAATATCAAAGTGTAAGAGTCACTCTTAAGAAAATGGTTCTCAGTTAATGACACCTAAATCTCAGGACTTTATACAGGTTCTTAACAAATAGACAACAGGGGTGGGATGATTAGGTGAACAGGAAAAAACGTGTCCTATCAAAAAATAACTACTAGCATCTTGTGGCTTTATAGAGCTTTTCTTGTTTAAAAATATTTAAAGAGCTTTCTTGCACAGGGTCTGGTTTAATGCTCATGAGATATTATAATCCTCATTTAAGTAATAAAGAAGCTAGGGTGCATGGATGCCAATGATTCACTTGAGGTTTACAGAAGTGGTAAACTATGGAGCTGAGAGGTTTTATTTTCCTTCTTCAGAGAGATATTTATTAGAGCATTGGTTTTATAGGTGATTAGAGAGTACATACACCAAACAGGGTGGTAAAGCTCCTCAGGGAGTAATAGCAGAAAACCACCACTACTCTCTGAGCTGCAGGGACGAGGGAGAAGACAGTGTTATAGATTCCAGGAGTGAGGACTACCAGGTGGAAGCTGACCAATGGAAACTGGACCCTGAAAAGAGATGGAGCTGCTGCTGTAAAAATCCCTGGCCTTCCCCTTCTTCCTGCTTTCAGTCTTCTACTAGTGCCGCCCACTGGCTGAACCCACCCCAAAGCCAGATGGCAAGGGAGCCTGGGACCCTGAAACAGAGCAGAACAGCAGTAGGAAGAGAATGGATCCCAGAACACACAGTCCAATGACCAGCACAGGCCAAAGACCATAGTGGTCTGTACTACGGAATAAATAATGGAGGTTTTGGAGAAAGAGTTCTTGACTTTGAATCCAACTTTGAATGCTGTCACTTTCTAGTTCGGTGACTTTGGGTACATTATATAACATCTCTGGGTCTCATTTTCCTCATCTACGAAATAGGGTATTAAAATACTTTAATTTAGTGGGCTGTGATGGAGAGTAAGCAGGATAACATATATGAAGCCATTAGCTAAGTGCTTGATCCAGACCATACCTTCGATGAATGTCATCCATTAAATATTTCAAAAACCTGGATAAAAGCAGAACTTAGATCAAGGTCTAAATGCACTAGTGAGCAAGGCCCAACTTTCAGCATGGCACTCAGCATAACTGGGATGGGGTTATTTTTCAAAGAAGAAATTACTCATTTTTTGTCAAGAATGTGTAAGCTCCAAGATGAAGCCTTTTTTGGGGAAAGAAAATGGACTGAGGGAATCTCACTGTCACATACATTCATCGAGGATTAAGAGAATCATTGGCTGTTACCACAAAGGAGACATTAGCTGATGGCCATTGGCTATAAGAAAACGAGGGAATAGTCTTGCTTCTCTTTTCTCTGGTCAGAAATTTAAACATTTCTGACGCCCCGGCAAAGTCCACTGATGTGGCCCATCACCCTTGTTGAGTAAATCCTGATCTCACAAATGGGAGGGGAAAAAAAGCTCTACTTCTAGGCAAGAGGCTTCTGAAGTGTCTCTTCCCTTTCCATGGTGGATCTTGAAGAATGCCATGGTGTAATTCTCACGCCATGGTGAAGTCAGCTATCTTGGGACTTCTGTTTTAGAGATGGGGAAAGGGTGGTCTTGCTGAAAATCTAGCTGCCTAAACTGAGACAATGTGAACTGAGCTCTTGGTGTCCTGGGTTTAAAACAACAGGGTATCTACCCTTCTCTGAGTTGCCCTATTGTCAAAGTAGGTTAGTTTTTAAATGTGCAACTCACCTGGGAATACCCGATTACAAATGTGCTTAGGATTGCTTATTGACTGGCTCTAAATCAAGGCCAAAGTAACTGGTTGAGAATAAGTCATTTTTCAGCAAAACTTCTACAGAGGCATTAATACTGATGTTAATTATAATTATGACAGCTATCATTTCTTGAGTGTTAACTATCATCCAGGCCACACACAATGCTAAGCACCCTACGCATTCTATTTAATTTCCCTAACAACCCAATGAGCCAGGTGCTATTATTGTTTCAATTTTACAGATGAAACATAAGCCTCAGAGAGGTGACACGACATAACATGCTTGGGATCACAAAGCTGGTATGAGAATTATAGTTATTCCAGGTCTGTCTGACTTCAAGACCTGTGAGTACAATGTCTCCTTGCCTTGTGCCAGGTACAGTGGTAGGCTCTGGAGATACAATGACCATTAAGATGCAGGGAAATGAGTCCTGGGACTACAGCTTCTAGTCTAGTGAAATAACTGTAGAGCTGTAATTGCTAAAAAGCCCTGATCGAAAGCCACAGGGCTGCCAAATTCTAAGGGTAAACCCAATCTGAAAGCAGACAAACACAGACCCTCCATCTTGGTAGGATCAGGACTGCCCCTGGGATGGCCTCTCCTGACACACGATCAAAGTGTGGCCGGGAGATCAATTCAGGTAGGGGCTAGCAGCTCAAGAGGCAAGA